ACATGGGTGCACTTACCTACATGCAGGCAATACACGCATACACATAAAATAAAAATAATAAAATATTAAAAAAAGAAAATTAATACCTGCTGATTGAAACATGTATGTGCCTATGGTATATGTGTTCATGCATGTGTACATGTGTGAATGCCCATGCATGTTTATACACATGTATGTGGAGGTCAGAAATCAGCATCGAGTGTCTTCCTCAATTTCTCTTCACCTTATTTTTTGAGAGAGGGTCTCTCACTGAACCTGAGCCATGCTGATTTGGCTAGACTGACTGGCCAGAAAGCCCCAAGTATTCTCTTTTCTCTATCTTCCCAGTACCAGGATTGCAGGTGTGCACTGCTGCACCTGCTTTTACATGGGTGCTGGAGCCTGAACTCGGGTCCTCGTGCTTGCACAGTAAACATTTTAACAGCTGTGTCATTGCCCCAGCTTCTTGAAACTTTTACTGTCTTAACTCTGTTAAACCAGTGAGGGACTCAGTATGTGCATTTATGTTTATGTGCGCAGTGTTGTTTTCGTCAAATGACGTCTGCATTACTGCAACATAACAAAGATCTGAGTTTAGAGATGATCTCATCTGGAGTCCACAAATGAAATGGACACATAGGACTTGTGGATAATCTTGAGGAAATCAGCTGGGCAGGGTGTGAGGATGGCAGACTGGAGAGCAATGATCCAGTTAACAGGAGTAATGCCCTCAGCTGCAGCTGGTAGTAACCAGGAGAGTTTTGGGTTCTGTTGGTTTGATGCTGGGATTTTGGAAAATAGCTTGTCAGCAAGCATCTTTATCATGTAGAATTTGTGGACCGGGCAGGAATTCCTCCGTGCTGCTGTTTGTAGAGCTGTAGGGATGGAAGCTGCTCCCTCACAACAGGTTTCAGGCTTTCCAAGCACTCCAGACTCCTTCTGTGTGTGTGTTGTGTTGTGTTGTATGTGTGTGTGTGTGTGTGTGTGTGTGGTCTGTGCATCTGTGTATGCACTTTTTTGCATGTGTATGGGTACACATGCATGTGTGTGCAGGCATGTGGAGGCTCAAGGTTGATGTTGGAAATCATCCTCCATCTCTCTTCCACCTTCTGCACTGAGGCAGGGTCGTTCATTCAAACCCAGAGCTCACGGATACAGCTAGTCTCTATAGACAACTTGCTCTAGGCAGCCTGTCTCAGTCTTCTCAGGCTGGAATTTCAGGTGGGCACCGGGCCTACCTGGCATTTATGTAGGTTTCTGGGGATCTGAAATCAGGTCTTCATGTTTGCACAGCAAGCACTTTAACTGCATAGCAATCTCCCCAGCTCCTGCTCCAGATGTTTTATGTCCCATGGAGGCAAGAGACAGAGGACAAAAGCCATGCTGTGTCTGGAGAAAGTGTAGCTAGCCCCCTCACCCCTTAAGGACAATAGTACTCTCCTCACTAATATTTAACAGGCTCCTGGCACTTGACTTTTTCTGCCTTTGTTGATGCAGAGGTTTGAGGAGGGGAGAGTCTGCTCCCAGGATGCTGGGTGCAGACCTATAAGACATCTGTTTTCTGGAATGCTGGGACCAGTTTGTCATGCCCCTCCCCCGTCATTGTGCACATCAAAGGAAGTCTGTTACTGGGCCAGTCCCCATGGCCTTGGGCACATTGTGCTGTTTTCTTATTCTTATGATGGGAAAATTCCCATGTGTTTTACACTTATCATATGTAGACTTTGTGTGAATGTCAAACGCTGAGCTTCCAATAAAGGCTCTCAGGAGGGCAGTGAGAGTGCTCCCGAGGACGGCTAGAAGAAAGCTCCAGTTCTAACTCTGGAGCAGCAGGCACAGCCTCCGTGAATTACTGTCTCCTTGTCTGAAAGTGAGAAACTAGATAGAATCAGAGGTGACTCAACTTGAACATGCAATTTACTTGTTATATCTAGTGTGGGTAACTTACATTAAAAATGTAGATTTCAGTCTCTACTTTGAAAAACG